CCAGGCTGGAGTGCAGCGGCGTGATCTCAGCTCACTGCAACCTCCACCTCCTGAGTTCAAATAATTCTCCTGCCTCAGCCTCCAGAGTAGCTGGGACTACAGGCACGTGCCACCATGCCCAGTTAATTTTTAGTAGAGACAGCATTTCACTATGTTGGCCAGGATGGTCTCAATCTCCTGACCTTGTGATATGCCCATCTCGGCCTCCCAAAGTGCTGAGATTACAGGCATGAGCCACCATGCCCGGCCATAATGTGTTTTAAGTTAAGAGTTATTACAAATGAGTCAAAAGTGTTTAAAATTTTTAAAGTTTATAAAGTAAAAAAGTTACAGTAAGCTAACGTTAATCTATTATTGGAGGCCAGGCATGGTGGCTCATGCCTGTAATCCCAGCACTTTGGGAGGCAGAGGTGGGTGGATATCACCTGAGGTCAGGAGTTCGTGACAAACCTGGCCAACATGGTGAAACCCCATCTCTACTAAAAATACAAAAATTAGCCAGGCGTGGTGGTGTGTGTGTGTAATCCCAGTTACTCAGAAGGCTGAGGCAGGAGAATTGCTTGAACCTAGGACGCGGAGGTTGCAGTAAGCCAAGATTACACAACTGCACTCCAGCCTGGGCAACAGAGGGAGACTCCATTTCAAAAAAAAAAAAAAAAATTATTACTGGAGAAAGAAAAATTTTAAATAAATTTAGTGTAGCCTACATGTATAGTATTTATAAAGTTTACAGCAGTGTAATGACCTAGGCCTTGACATTTACTTACCACTCACTGACTCACCCAGAGCAACTTCCTCTCCTGTAAACTTCATTCATGGTAGGTGGACCACTTTTTATCTTTTATGCTGTATTTGTACTGTACTTTTTCTATGTTTAGATACATAAATACTTGCCATTCTATTACAGTTGTCTACAGTATTCAGTAGAGTAACATGCTGTACAGGTTTGTAGCCTAGTAGCAATAGGCTACACCATACAGCCTAGGTATGTAGTTGGCTATACCGTCTAGGTTTGCTTAAGTACACCCTATGACATTTGCACAATGATGAAATCACCTAATGATGCAATTCTCAGAAAGTATCCCTGTCACTGAGCAACGTGACTACTGTTTTCCTATACATACATATCTATGAGAAAGTTTAATTCATTAATGTTTAAAAACGTTTTTATTTTTGAGACAGGGTCTTACTCTGACACTCAGGCTGAAGTGCAGTGGTATGATATGGCTCACTACACCCTCAACCTCCCAGGCTTAAGCACTCCTCCACCTCAGCCTTCCAAGTAGCTGGGACCACAGGTATGCACCACCATGCCCAGCTAATTTTTAAATTTTTTTGTAGAGATGAGGTCTCACCATGTTGCCCAGGCTGATCTCAAACTTCGGGGGTCAAGCAATTGTCTTGCAGCAGCCTACCAAAGCACTGGGATTACAGGCATGATGAGCCACTGTGCCCAGCCGAAAAAATTTAATTTATAAATTAGGCATGGGAAGAGATGAAGAACAATAACTAATAATAAAACAGAACAATTATAACAATACATGGTATAGAAGTTATGTGAATTTGTCCTTTTGGTAAGAGACAGAAAAGAAATTATGTGAATTTGGTTTCTCAAAATATCTTTTTTTTTTAATGAGATGGGGTCTTGCTATATTGCCCAGGCTGGTCTCAAACTCCTGGCCTTAAGCAATCCTCCCAACCAAAGCATGGGGATGACAGCTGTGAGCCACTGCACCCAGCCTCAAAATATTTTATCTGACTGTACTCACCTATTTTCAGACTGCAGTTGACCATGGAAATCAAAACCGGGGATAACAGGGGACTACCGCAGCTATAATAATCATAGTAATTAGGTGCTCAACAATTCCTTGATATTGCTAGTGTCTAAGGGCCTACAGGGTAAGATGTATTTATTCAACAGGCATTAATCTATTACCTACTACATGTAAAGCACTGTGGGAAACATAAGATGAATAAGGCATAGATCCTACATTCAATTGGTAGAGCTGTAACTCTGTTTTTTTGGTTTTGTTTTGTTTGAGACAGAGTCTTGCTCTGTCACCCAGGCCGGAGTGCACTGGCTTGATCTCTGCTCACTGCAACCTCCACCTCCTGGATTCAAGTGATTCTCCTGACACAGCCTCCCGAGTAGCTGGGATTACAGGTACACACCACCATGCCCAGCTAATTTTTTTGTATTTTTAGTAGAGACGGGGTTTCACCATGTTGGCCAGGCTGGTCTTGAACTCCTGATGTTGTGATTCACCCGCCTTGGCCTCCCAAAGTGCTGGGATTACAGGCATGAGCCACCACACCTGGCCAAGCTGTAACTATTGATGAGAGCTAACCACAAAAAAGATGTTGAAGGTCCTAAATTCTGAAGAAGGATCAACCTACTTTCTAGGCAAGGTGACATTTAAGCTAGGCTTTGAAGGGTGAAAAGAATTTGGCCACAGGAAGACAGGAAAAAAGACATTCTAGGCAAAGAAGACACCATGTGCAATGGCCAGGAGTTAAGAAATCCAGGGCCACACACAGAGAATGCCGCATGCTTCAGCTGGATCTTGCAAGAAGGCATAAAGTGGTGTAGTGGGCATGAAGTGGGCAGCGTAAGTCCACAGTGGCTCTGAATGCAGCCTTGGGTATTCAGAACTGATTCTGCAGGCACTCAGGCTGGGCACAGTGGCTCACACCTGTAATTCCAGCATTTTGGGAGGCCGAGGCGGGCAGATCACCTGAGGTCAAGAGTTTGAGACCAGCCTGGCCAACATGATGAAACCCCATTTCTACTAAAAACACAAAAATTAGCTGAGCATGGTGGTGTGCACCTGTAGTCCCAGCTACTCAGGAGGCTGAGGCAAGAGTGTCGCTTGAACCCAGGAGGCAGAGGTTGCAGTGAGCCGAGATTGTGCCACTACAATCCAGCCTGGGAGACAGAGCAAGACTCTGTCTCCAAAAAAAAAAGAAAGAAAGTTTATAAACAAACCACACATCAACAAGAAAAATCAGGGGGAAAGCTCCCTTACCCTGCCCTTTTTACCTAGGAACATGGCCATGAGCTTCTCATCCTGAAGCAGGATGGCTCCTTTCACCAAGTACTCAAAGTAGGAGTCCACACCAGCCCCGATGCCCGCGTCCTGGGCCACCCACTTGCCAGTGAGCACATCAATGTGGTTGCCGACCTGAGGGAGCAAGAAAGACACATGGTCTCAAGGGAGAAGCAGATGGCCAAAAAAGGATCTACTCACCCCCAACCCTGACTGCGCAGGGAGATGCAAGGCAGGCACCCCAGTGCTTCTTGGGAGACACACAGACCATGAGAAGGAAGGGCAAGGCTGGATCATGGCCAGCCTTTCTGTACATCTGTATAGTACAGATGCATCTCATGCACATTTATCAGGACTTAATTATACACACTGAGCAAAAAATGAAAAAGAAAAATGATTTGGAGTGTTTATGCCCTGTCTGGAGTGAGTGTGAGATGGAAGATGAGAATTTGCTGTTCCCACAATCTGTCTCTGATTTCTCAGCACTAAGCATGTGATTCCTGTATCTGAAGACACAGACATGCTTACGTATTCCCATAAATTAACTCAAGAGGAACATCCACCAAGAAGACAGAGTGGTTCTAAGGAGAGAAACTGAATAGCTGGAGACAGGGACACAAGGGGACTTCACCAACGTCACTGAGTACCTTTTCTTGTATCCTTTGACCTTTTTTTAATTGTTCACTCTCTGTAGAGACTATCAAAAATTGCCAATGCTGGCCAAGCACCTTGGGTCACAACTGTAATCCCAGCACTTTGGGAGGCTGAGGCAGGTGGATCACTTGAGGTCAGGAGTTCAAGACCAGCTTGGCCAACATGACCTCAAGTGACCTCAAGAACCCTGTCTCTACTAAAAACACAAAAATTAGCCAGGCATGGTGGTGTGCGCCTATAGTCCCAGCTACTCAGGAGGCAGAGAATCACTTGAACCCAGGAGGTGAAGGGCAACAGAGCAAGACTCTGCCTCAAAAAAAAATAATAATAAATAAAGATATGTATTTTTCACATAGCTTAGACCCTCAGGGAAGCTAGTAACTTCAGCTGGTACTCAAAGAAATAGCTAACTGTCCTGTGTGAGTTTAGGTTCCCCAGGAGCATACCCTCAGCAAGGAAGACAGAAAGTAGTTGATTTGAAAGGTGAGTCCCTGTAAACACCAGTAGAGGAGAGGGAAAGGGAGGCAGGGCAAGGGAGGCAGCATTGAAGAGGTATGCCAAGAGGCAGGTTTCCACCGTGGGAACTGGAGTTCAAACCTGCTGGGGAGCTCAGGAATTCAGTGTAGAGCTCGAGCCTTGGAGTGACCCCACCCAAGGGGCAGGGAGCGGGAATGTTTATCACCAACTCCCAACGCTATCAGTTACTGGCTTGAGAGTTACCCATGGGTAGCATTAAATCTGGGCCTCTTTGCTTGTGGGTCTCCTCTCATGCCTGGAGCCCCTCTGTCTTTGGCTGACAATCAGAGTGGCTCCAGGCACCAGAGGAGACCCACAGGCAAAGAGGCCCAGGTGATGGCAGCTGGAAGACTGGCCAGTGTGCACGGAAATGGTAAGAGTTGAGAGGATATGGGCACAGCACCAACAGAGTCCACTACAGTCCCACTGCTGGAGCAAAACCTGCCTGAGTTAGACTTACTAAGAGATTTATTACAGGTCTCCTCCAGGGGGTTGGGCACTTGCTTAAGGAATTTTCAAGGGGTCCTCACACAAGCTTCACTTTTCAAGCTGAATTAGCACCAGACTCCGCATAAAATGTGCCTAGACCTGAATGCAGTCTTCCAAAGTCAGTGACTCAGTAAAACTGGTATTAACACATTAACGTTACTGAAGTAGCGGAGGACCAGAGAAGTTGAGTGACTTGCTCAGTGACTTGCTACACACTTTCGATGTAGCAAGGCCCGGGCTTGAATCCAGTTCTGAGTAAATCCATTGTTATGTACTGGATGGCTCTGGCTCAATTACTGTTAATCTCATTGGATTATCCCATTTAGAAGCTGAAACTGACCTTAGAGATCATCTGGTCCAAAGTGTGTTCATGGGTTAATGGTACTGGAAGATAAAGGGAGGCTCTGGTGTTAAATAAGTTTGGGAAATGTTAAGCAAAGTTGAATAGATTTCTTCACTAGAGGACTTTAATTCTGTTCATGTGCATTCTGATGCTCCAAAAAAGGGGAGGGATATTATATGTAACATTCCTCTAACTTAATTGGCCAGGACTTATTTTTTCATGCAATAGCCATTCAGTATCTCTCAGAAATGGTGTCCTAAGAAACACAGTTTTACAAATACAGATAGATACTAAAAATGAAGGCCCGACAAGCTAATGATCTAAAGTCACTAAGTGAGTCAGGGGCATGAAGCATAACCCTCTTCCTAGAAATGAGGATCTCAAGTGGTCATAGCTTAATGCAGCCCCCCGCTCCTTACCAGAGAAATGAGCTTTACCACTCTCTTTCCCACTCTAAACCAAACTTGAATTGGAGGCCTGGTCTATTTTTGGTGTCCTGAGCCCAATCCCTGGGCCACTCCCAAGGTCACCCTGAGTTTTCCTTGGCTTGATTGCAACTTATTGCTCAGAGCCTGGGGCCTCATAAGCAGAGGCCAAGGTGGCAAACTTGACTCAAACAGGAAGGGCAGCTGCGAACCTACCAGCCCGATATCTGACCGGCTCTCCCAGAGGCGCATCAAGGCCACTCTGGCCACATCTTCGAATACAGGGTCACCAGTGAGGCTGCTCAGGGTGGCAAATTCAACAATGAAGGTCCCAATCCCTGCCGTACAGGTGACAGGGGTCTCTCCTGGGTTCACACCATGAAGTAAGTTCACAGTTCCATATGGCATGCCAGTGGGGGTCTGAAAGGCTGAACAATTGTAAAATGATGATCCCAGACAGAAGCAGGGGGATAGGGACAGTTTTGATATACGCCCAAAGCCTGAGACCTTAGCCAGCACTTCCCTCTTATTCCTGGGTGTCCCGCTCAGGTCTGAACCAGAGAAGAATAAATGTTATAACTGGAGGGCCCTGAGCAGCCACCCAGCCCAGATGCTGTCAAATACTGCTCTGCACAACCCCTGGGTTCCTGCCTGTGATGAAGGGCATGGAGCAGGCTGCAGTCCACGCACACTCACTTTAGCTAGAGTGCTTTAGCTACTTTCATTTATTTTACAATACGCCTTCCAAGCCCCAGCAGGTAAGTTATTGTGATGCAGGCAAGGTTGAGGCCACAGCAAGTGGCGGGGCTGTGGCACAAAGACAAGAGTAAGCCCTGTTCAAAGCCATTCATAGACTTTTGACTCATGCCTATAATCCCAGCATTTTGGGAGGTCAAGCAGGTGGATCACTTGAGGCCAGGAGTTCAAGACCAGCCTGGCCAACATGGTAAAACCCTGTTTCTACTAAATATACAAAAATTAGACTGGCCTGGTGGGGCACACCTGTAATTCTGGCTATTTGGGAGACTGAGGCAGGAGAATCGTTTGGACCCAGGAGGCGGGGGCTGCAGTGAGCTGAGATTGCACCCTGCACTCCAGCCTGGGTGACAGAGTAAGACCCTGTCTCCAAGTAATAATAATAATAAACAAAGCCATTCATAGACTTTAAATAAAGATCCCTGCTTTAAATAAAGAGTATAGGGGCTAAATTATTTTTAAAAGGAAGCAAAACAGGATATCAACCACTAGGCCACTGATATAGTATGACCATCAATTTACAGGTAGGGAAAACCATCCCTGTAAAGAAGTGATTCAGTCAGCCGGGTGCAGTGGCTCATGCCTGTAATCCCAGCACTTTGGGAGGCCAAGGCGGGCAGCTCAAGAGGTCAGGAGATCAAGACCATCCTGGCCAACATGGTGAAATCCTGTCTCTACTAACAATACAAAAATTGGGTGGGCGTGGCGGCGCATGCCTGTGATCCTGGCTGCTCAGGAGATTGAGGCAGGAGAATCCCTGGAATCTGGGAAACAGAGGTTGCAGTGAGCCAAGACCAAGCCACTGCACTTCAGCCTTGGTGACAGAGGGAGACCCCATCTCAGGAAAAAAAAAAAAAAAAAAAAAGAGGTGATTCAGCCAAAGGCCACATAGAGTCAAAAAGAGCTGGGATGGGAACACCTGCCCCATGCCCACTCCTAGCCCCAGTCCAGTTCTTTCCCCTCCCCACCCGAGTGCCTTCTGATTCAAGACGAGAACTGGACAACCAGTCAGAGACAGAGATTTCCTCTCTGAGGCTAAAGTCAAATAACTCTAGAGCAGCCTGTGCGTCACCAAACTGCGAACAAAAGTGTCGACACTTCCAAGAACCACAGGGTCTAGCAACTCTGTCTGCCACAGATAAGAAACCTGCCATCTGGGAGGCACCAATGGGAGAGTGAGTCGCAACCAGAAAGGGCCCTAAGTAATATTTCAGGAAAGTCAGGCTGTATTAAAAAGAAGGGGAGTGACAAAGTCCTGTTTCTTGACCTTTTTTAATGAAATGACCAATGACCAAAAATAAGTAAATAATAAAGGAGGAGCAGCTAGGCAGAGTTTCCAGGGTTTCCTCCAGGGATGAATCACACAGGACACAATGTCTGCAAGAAGATGCTCAAGCCATGAGCCACGAGTGAGACCTCAACCCAGCTCTATCTTCAGCTCTCCCCAAAAGCAGAGGCAAAGTGCTGTGTGAGAGGGATAAAGGGGCCGGGTGTGGGGGCTCGCACCTGTAATCCCAACACTTTGGGGGGCCGAGGCAGGTAGATCACTTGATCCCGGGAGTTCAAGACCAGCCTGGGCAACATGGTGGAACCCCATCTCTCCAAAAAAAAGGTAGCCATGTGTGGTGGCATGTGCCTGTAATCCCAGCTACTCAGGAGGCTGAGGTGGGAGAATCAACTGAGCCCAGAGGTTCGAGGCTGCAGTGAGCCATGATCATACCACCGCACTCTAGCCTGGGCGACAGAGCGAGACCCTGCCTCAAAAAAAAAAAAAGTAATAAAAAAATGAGATGGCCAAGAGGCTGGTGCGAAGCACGGGGTGACGTGTCTGGGTGTGAACAGTCCTCAGAGCCTCCACCACACCCTGAAGGGAACAGAGTGTCCAGTTGATGCTACCGAGCCTGGTGTTACTGCCCAACTAGACAAAAACATGAAGGCTTGGCCTGCAGCCCTGGACACGGCTTAGCCACAAAACAAATCCCTCTCGTTTTAAAAGTGCTGGAGGTTCTCTGAACAGTTTCTCCTTTCTGACCTCATTTTAGCCTTCCCAAACCCAATGTAGTAAGGAGACGGAAATTATGATTCTCATTCAATAGATGGAGAAACTAAACTGTGGAGAGAGGCTGGGAACAGTGGCTCATGCCTGTAATTCCAGCACTTTGGAAAGCCAAGGTGGTAAATCACTTGAGGTTAGGAGTTTGAGACCAGCCTGGCCAACATGGTGAAACTTTGTCTCTATTAAAAATACATAAATTAGCCAAGCATGGTGGCGGGCGCCGCCAGCTACTAGGGAGGCTGAGGCAGAAGAATCGTTTGAACCTGGGAGGCAGAGGTTGCAGTGAGCTGAGATTGGGCCACTGAACTCCAGCCTGGGGGACAGAGCAAGACTCTATCACAAACAAACTGTGAAGAGAAAGAGTGGCTTGGTCAAGATGTTGGCTGGCAGAGCTGAGTCTAAAATCCAGGGCCAGGCGTGGTGGCTCACACCTGTAATCCTAGCACTTTGGGAGGCTAAAGCGGGCAGATCACCTGAGATCAGAAGTTCGAGATTAGCCTGACCAACACAGAGAAACCCCATCTCTACTAAAAATACAAAATTAGCCAGGTGTGGTGGCTCACGCCTGTAATCCCAGCTACTCAGGAGGATGAGGCAGGAGAATCCCTTCAACCTGTGAGGTGGAGGTTGCAGTAAGCCAAGATTGTGTCATTGCACTCCAGCCTGGGAAACAAGAGCAAAACTCCGTCTCAAAAAAAAAAAAAAAATCCAGGGCTGCTGATGCTCACACCAACACCCTTCCCTGGGCCGCTGTTATTCCAGCAGTAGGTGGAATAACTGTAGACTTGGGAGGGGACAAATGGGCTCATTCAAAATAAGGACAATGGCCTTCCACCCACCAGGCTGGCCACCTTCAACCATCCCCTGCAAACAATAATAAGGTCAAGTCATCCATCCCGGGTCAGCGCGCCAGCAGGCCCTGAAATGCCCAGGATGCTCCTGATTTCCATGGTGGGTGCCTGGGGATAGAAATACCAAATACACGTGGTGAGAAACACCAGGAATTAATTCAGTACTGGCACTCTCATCTTCAGCAAGGGAAGCAGGGCCTACTGGACTTCATCTCTCTCCCATCTCTGTGGGTCTTACCTGGGAGGAGCTTTCGGGCTGCCTCTTCAGCCATTCTCAGGAGAGGTCCGGAACAGGGCCATCCAGCTTCCACTTCCACCCCAGCCTTCTTGGAGAGCAGATGAGCAGACAGGAGTCCTCCTACCACTACAGATGGCACAGAAAGCATGTCACAGTCCAAAGGGAAAGATCAACGGACCAAGAAGCTTTCCCCATGTGAGTTAAAACTAAACACTCTGTTGCGGGGGGGGGCACAAGTTCTCAGGACCTTCTGAGGCTATTTCATGGGTAAAAACAAAAACAAAAAAACTTCCCTCTATTGGGGTGGCTCACTGGGAAGAAGCTAGAGCCACCTAGTGAAAAAAGAGCCCCTTCATCCCACACATTTATACAGTGTTAAGTTTATGGGTTTTTTTTTTCTCTTGGTGCATCACAAGAACAGTGGCTATTTCTTTTAAGTCCCTATTGTGTACCAAGCACTAACTAAGTACTACAACTCCCTGGTCAGATGAAGATACTGAGGTTCCATGAGAAAAAGTGACTTGCCCCAGGCCTCCCATCTAGTAGGTGGTAGGGCTGGATATCTTTGATTCCAAAGCCCATACTCATTCCATTTGTCACTCTGTCTGTCTCCCAATCACCTGTCGTACCTAGGGGAAAGGGGCAATGGTGGTTATTACCTGTATTTGGTTCATTTATCTATTTCAACTTATTATGCAATATTTAGAACTTTTAAAAAGACATGAAGGTTCTATACTTGGAAATATAGCTAAATAGATATCCTGAGTGGCCCTTTCACTGAAAACAACTGGTGACCCTAAGCTTCAAAATTCCCCTCCTTCCTGCAGAGGGGGAATAGGAGACAAAGGTCAGACCTGCCCCAAATGGGAGTCTGATGAAAGGTCCCTATGTGGGCCAGGCATGGTGGTTCATGCCTGTAATCCCCGCACTTTGGGAGGCTGAGGTGGGTGGATCACTTGAGTCCAGGAGTTTAGAACCAGCCTGGTCAACATGGCAAAACCCTGTCTCTACAAAAAATACAAAAACTTAGCTGGGTGTGGTGGTGCACACCTGTAATCCCAGCTACCTGTGAGTCTGAGGCAGGAGAATCACTTGAACCTGGGAGGGAGAGGTTGCAGTGAGCTGAGATCACACAACTGCACTCCAGCCTGGGCAATGAAAAGAAAAGAAGAAAGGAAAGGAGGGAGGGAAGGAAGGGGAGGGAGGGAGGAAGTGAGGGAGGGAAGAAAGGAAGGAAGGAAATGAAATCAAATCTACATTTATGTATATTATAGTAAAACTGCAGAACAACAAAGGGAAAAAAGATCTCGAATGCAGCCAGAATCTGTGTAAATAGTAATTAAAGCTGGATGAAGGGCACATCTAGTCCATTATACTATTTTCTCTGCTTTTATGTCTGTTTGAAGTTTTCCATAATAAAAAGTTTTTAAAAGGAGACAGCCAAAGTGAAAACCAAAACAAGGTATCTATAAAGAAAACAACAACTGACAGATTACTTCTTAACGATAATGAAATCAGAAGAAAATGGAAAAATTTTTCAACATAGTAAGAAAGTAACCATCAACCTAGAACCATACACCCAGCAAAAATATCACCCAAAGGTCAAACAAAGGCGGTGGAATAAAGACATTTTCATATAAACAAAACCTGGGAATGTTTGCCAAGCACACACCTGCATTACAGGACATTCTAAAGGAAATACTTTAGAGAGAAGGTCTGAGTCATGAAAAGAAAAGATAGTCAAAAAAGTGGTAAATAGGCTGGGCACAGTGGCTCACGTCTGTAATTCCAGCACTTTGGGAAGGTGGATCACTCAAGGTCAGGAGTTTGAGACCAGCCTGGTCAACATGGTGAAACTCTATCTCTACTAAAAATACAAAAACTAGCCTAGTGTGGTGGTGCACATCTGTAATCCCAACTACTCAGGAGGCAGGAGAATCGCTCGAACCTAGGAGGTAGAGGTTGCAGTAAGCCGAGATCGTGCCACTGCACTCCAGCCTGGATGACAGAGTGAGACTTGATTTCAAAACAAACAAACAAACAAAAAGTGGTAAATATATGTGTAAATGCAAAACTTCAACAGTACAGAACAATAAGTATAATGTATAGAGGGTTTAAAACAAATAATTAAAATATAGAACTAGAGCATATAGGTCAGGATGTTCTCTAAGAGCCAGGTTTTGTTTTATTCAGAAGGAGAACAAAGATTTTCATTAAATTTAGACTTTGATAAGTTATGTTTGTTAAATTTGCTCAGAAAACTATGTAAAAAGCTAGATATTGTGCAGAACTTCCATATTAGTAAGAGGAAAATGGAATGGCGGGGAAAACAGTCTAAAGAAGGCATGAAAAAAGACAGAAAAAAGGAACATAAAGAAGATGGCAAAAGGCTGGGTGTGGTGGCTCACGCCTATAATCCCAGCACTTTGGGAGGCCAAGGTGGGCAGATCACCTGAGGTCAGGAGTTGGAGACTAGCCTGGCCAACATGGTAAAACCCCACCTCTGCTAAAAATATAAAAATTAGCCAGGCAAGCACCTATAATCCCAGCTACACAGGAGGCTGAGGCAGAAGAATCACTTGAATCCAGGAGGCAGAGGCTGCAGTAAGCAACCTCTCTGCAGGTGCAGTGAGATTGTGGTACTACACTCCAGCCTGGGCCACAGAGTGAGACTCCATCTCAAAAAAAAAAAAAAAAAAAAAAGATGGCACAGAGAGCACATATTGTAGAAATGAGCGCAAATACATCAGTAATTACAGTAAATGTCCATGGATTAAATGTTTCAGTTAAAGACTGTCAGAACAGAAAAACAAAATATACACTATTTACAAAAGATGTATCTGATCATAAAACTACAGACAGATGGAAAGGATAGAAAAAGATACATGGGAAAATGTCAACCAAAAGAAAGCTGGAATCAATTATATTCATATCAGAAATGAAGGTACAAGAATGACCTACATTCACAGATGACAAACTGAGCTCAGAAGCTGGGAGACACAGCAACAAGCACAGCCTAAAACTCATGCCGGATTCCTAAACCAGGATTTTAGACCATATTGTCCCTCTGTTCTCTTTTTTAAACTTTTATGGATCATATATCTGGAATATAAATTTCATTGCAGAAAACATACAAAATAATGGGGAAAAATAGAACCCTGCCATCCAGAGGTGACAGCTGTTAAGCCAGTGGTCTAGAGGTTCAGTGCAAATAAGGGCTGTGGCAGCTTCACAAGAATGATTGGAAGTCTGCTAAAAATACTGATTCTAGGACTCAATCCAGAGATTCCAATTCATTAGGTTTAGGGTGGAACCCTCAACATCTCAATTTTTTAAAAGGTCGCAAGTGGTTCCTATGGGCAGCCAAGTTTAGAAGATTAATGCCCTAGACTTGCACTGTCCAATACAATAATCACTAACCATGTGTGACTATTTAAATTTAAAATCATTAAAATTAAATGAAATTTAAAATTCAGTTCCATAGTTGTAATAGATACATTCTAAATGCTCAAGAGCTCATGTGGTTAGTGGGTACCATATTGGACGAATACAGATATAAAACATTTCCAGCCAGGCATGGTGGCTCTCATAATCCCAGCACTTTGGGAGGCCAAGGCAAGTGGATCACGAGGTCAGGAGTTCGAGACCAGCCTGGCCAACATGGTGAAACCCCGTCTCCACTAAAAATACAAAAATTAGCCGGGCATGGTGGCGCATGCCTGTAATCCCAGCTACTTGGGAGGCTGAGGCAGGAGAATCGCTTGAACCTGGGAGGTAGAGATTGTAGTGAGCCAAGACCATGCCATTTCACTCCAGCCTGGGCAACAGAAAGAGATTCCAACTCAAAAAAAAAAAAAAAAAAAAATTCCATCATTGCAGAAAATTTGATTGGACAGACAGTAAGTTCCAAGAAGGCAGGGATCACATCTTTCTTGTTCATAGCTATGTGCCTAGTATCAAATATACATTAAAGAGGTGAGTAATCTGGTGTATTTCTTCCCAGTCTTTCAGTCTCCTGTTCACTTTCATATCTGAAACTGATGGGGGAATCCTGAGACTTCCCCCACTTCACCCTCCAGGAGGGAAGAAGAGCTCTGTCGATCAGAGGTTTTGGCCAAGGGTCCTGGTATGGTCAGTCCTTAAAATCCTATTTACCACTTCTTGGTTTACAGAAGCAACTTCACACTCGCTCTTTTTTTTTTTTTTTTTAAGTCCCTAGAGAGCAGCCCTCACCTCGAATGTTGGTTTCAAACACAGAAGCGTTCACATCAATATCAAAGTCCACGTTGTCCTGGAGCACTTCAATCACTCTTTGGAATTCTGAGACATTCCCCAAAATCTGGAAATAAAAAAGAGACCTGACAATGAGGCTCTCTTGCATGTGCAGAGGCAGATTCAGAGTCTGGGATCCTATGTTGATGTGGCCCTCACTAATTCCACTTAAGACCTCCAGTTTCTGTCCTAGGATTGGTGACAGCAGAAGAAAACACTGAGAGCTAGAAATAATCCAGAGACTCCATATCAAGAGACTGGTTAAGTAAATTCCTAAGGTCCCAATTAAGAGTCCCGATGTAGTCATTTAAATGGACGCAATATAAAGATGCAAACTACACAAAGAAGTCTTAGTTCGACATTTGCAGTAGGTATCAGCTGTTTTTAACCCTGTCTTGTCATGTTCAGCCTTGTGGAAAACATGACAGGTAGGCTGGCCCAAGACTAATTCATTCCTACTCTCTTTACCTCATGGCCTCTTACCAGAGGTTGGAAATCCAGATGCATTCTCAGCCTCCTTTGCTACTAGAGTTGATTGTGTTACCCAGCCAATTTTTGACCCTTGAGAAGTCTACTGGGGGCACTTCTGGGAAGGCTTCTGTTTTCTTAATACCAAGGAACAAACACAGCTAACATGGCTTTTAGTCTCTGTCTTTCTGCCTTGAACTTAGACTCAATTTCTGAAGCTATGGCAGCTATGTGAGACCATGAAGTACTAAGCATGAGAATAAAAGCCAAAACACTAAGGATACTAGAATGGAAAGCTACAGAGAGCCTGATCTCTGATGACACAGCTGAGTAGCTGACCCAATGATAGAAATTACCTCTACGCTTTTACTTGAGAAAATAAACCCTCTTTATTTAAACTATGAGCCAAATGCAATCTCAATCTCTCTTCTTTTGATAATAACATCCCAATTTACCCTCCAGGAATCACTCTTCCCCAGTAGTCACTCCTGTGGTTTGGGAGAGGCTGATCCCATCCCTTAGCTGTAGAGTGGGTACTTGACCTGTACCAGGCCAAGTCTTTTTTTCTTTTGAGACAGGGTCTTGCTCTGTTGCCCAGGCTGGAGTGCAGTGGTGTGATCGCAACTTACCACAGCTTCAAACTCCGGGGATCAAGCAATGTGGGCCTTCTAAAATGTTGGGATTACAGGCATGAGCCACCACGCCTGGCCCTTTTTACCTTTCTAAGTATCAGGAGTTTTTTATTTTTTTATTTTGTATTTTTTGAGACAGGGTTTTACTCTGTCACCCAGACTGGAGTGCAGTGGCGCAATCTAGGCTCACTGCAATCTCTGCCACCCTGGCTGAAGCAATTCTCCCACCTCAGCCTCCCAAATACATGTGTACTACCATGCCTAATTTTTTGTATTTTTGGTAAAGATGGGGCTTCACCATATTGCGCAGGCTGGTCTTGAACTCCTGTGCTCAAGTGATCCACCTGCCTAGGCCTCCCCAAGTGCTGAGATTACAGGCATGAGCCACGGGGCCCAGCCATAAGTATCAGATTTCTTAGCCATAAGAAGGAGTAAAGGTACTTACCTCAAGAAGTTGTTGGAAGAATTAAGATAATACATGTCTGTACTAAGCTCTACACAAACACATTAAATAGTCACTGATATCGTTTTATTATTCTTATTTTAATTTAATTTTTTTGAGATGGAGTTTTACTCTTGTTGCCCAGGCTGGATAGAGTGCAATGGTGTGATCTCCGTTCACTGCAACCTCCGCCTCCCAGGTTCAAGCACTTCTCCTGCCTCAGCCTCCCCAGTAGCTGGGATAACAGACATGTGCCACTATTCCCAGCTAATTTTTTATATTTTAGTAGAGACAGGGTTTCACCATATTGGCCAGGCTGGTCTCAAACTCCTGACCTCAGGTGATCCACCTGCCTCGGCCTTCCAAAGTGCTGGGATTACAGGTATGAGCCACCGTCCTCAGCCTGATATCATTTTAGTATCATTAAACATGGCCCCTAGGATGTAAGCCTTTGAAAACAGGAGGATGTCAAAGTCTGTATCCCCCACAGAACTATACAAGCCTATCACAATTCTCTGTACATAACACGTTCTCTATAAATGTTTGCTAAATATATGAACCTGCATAAGTTGCCAGTTCCTTTTTCTCTATCTAGCTAGGCAACCACAGCCTGATGGTTCAGAATCATGAGATGCAAATAAAAGGCCTAGGAGAGGAAGGAAAAGAAACAGACAAGATACTTACCAGCAAGGTGTCCAGTGCATCAATTAGAGTCAGAGAAAAACTGCAAAAGGACAGAAATCCCAGCTGCTTAGTAAAAAAAAAAATCAAATACCAGATATTATGGCTGCCCTAGATCTGATCCCCCTAAAACTAAATGAGGCAAAGAAATGCCTCTGCCTGTCCCACTTACAGTCACAACAGAGAAGCCATAGTGAAAATCACACTCTGACCCACTCAATGCACCTGGGAGGATGGGCTGATGTAGTTCAACTGTAATTAAATACGTCACCTATATTCTGGCATTCTTCTTTACCATTGGGAGGCAGTATGCGATTACAGCTTAAAGCACAGGCTTTTCACCAATTTTCACATCTAGGAATTTACCCCACAGCGAACAGCTGTTTGAGAGTGTTCATGGCAGTATTGTTTACAACAGCAAAAAGCTGAAAAGAACCCAAATGTCCACCCATTAATGGGTGATTAAACTGTGTTATAAACCATGCAAAACTATGAAGTTATCAAAAAGATTGTTATCACGATTTCTATGTGCTGATGGACAGATATTCAAATTGTTTTTCTTTTTTTTTTTTCTTTTTTTTTTGAGATGGAGTTTCGCTCTTGTTACCCAGGCTGGAGTGCAATGGCGCGATCTCGGCTCACCGCAACCTCCGTCTCCTGGGTTCAGGCAATTCTCCTGTCTCAGCCTCCCGAGTAGCTGGGATTACAGGCACGCGCCATCAAATTGTTTTTAATGAAAAAGACAAGGTGGTTTAGAATATTTTCATCTATGTTTCAAAAAGAGACATACTGATAGAAAGTAGATGAGCAATGGTTAGGGTCAGTGGTGCAGGGATGAACTATAAAGGGCTACAGGGAACTTTTTAAGGTAACAAGTGTTCCCTATCTTGACTGTAATGGTGGTTACTTTGCACTTAAAATGAGTGTAGGCTAGGCACAATGGCTCCCGCCTGTAATCCCCAGCACTTTGGGAGGCCGAGGCAGGTGGATCACCTGAGGTCTGGAGTTGTGGCCAACATGGCAAAACCCGGTGTCTACAAATAATTACCCGGGTATGGTGGCGGTCACCTGTAATACCAGCTACTTGGGAGGCTGAGGGAGGAGAATTGCTTGAACCTGGGAGGCAGAGGTTGCAGTGAGCCAAGATCACACCACTGCACTCCAGCCTAGGTAACAAGAACAAAATTCTGGCTCAAAAAATAAAAATAAAAAAGGGGTACTTTATTATATGTAAATTATGCCTTTAAGAAGTTCATTTTAAAAAGATACACATATACACATTTATATGTATAATGGTATAAACCAAGAATATTTCTGGAGAGAGCCAAAGGAAAGTTAACAGTTGGAATTCTAAGGTATGGGAGATATTTACTGTATATAATTTTTTACCACTTAAATTTGTCATTTGTATTTACTTTGTTTCAACTTAAAAAAAATAAAAACCAGCGCAAGTTTCAAGTTTCCTTAATTTCTCCCGTCCTTAGCACACTCGTGTGTAAAACAGGAATAATGGCACCTAACTCCTAGGGGTACTAAGATAATTAAAGGAAATGACACAGTAAAATGTTTAGCATAGTGTTCAATCAATGCCAGCTTCAGCTACAGCAAAGATTCTTCACTCAGCAAGGAACAAGACAGTGAATCATAGCTCTCACAGATTTTTATTCCAGTGGAAAGGAGAAAGACAAAGCAGTCGATAAGTGAAAATGATAGTATCAGAGAGTGAGAAGTGCTACAAAGAAAATACAACAGGTAACTTGTGTGAGTGACTTAAAAGGGGGTCGTGGGTGGTTAGGGAAGTGAATGCTGAGGAGGTGACTACTGAGCTGAGATTTGAATGACAAGCAGCAGCCGGTGACGACAGGATAATGGGGAGAGTGTATTTCAGACACAGGAAATATCAACTACAAGGACTTAAGTTTTGGGAGTGTCACAGGCCTTCCTGGACATGACTGCACACCTACACAATGAAAGGATTGGGTTTTCTAATTCTCGGTGCCCTTCCACGGTATCTTATTACTCCAGAAATTCCCCACAGCTGATGCCTGTTACTGCTGGGGCTGTACCCAGCGATCCAGCCCACCCCGCTAATCCAGTACTTTTTTTTCACTGCGAGAGGCTAAGTGAATTCTGGAGGTGATAGCAAGAACTGCGGCGAGCGCGGCTCCAGCTCAGCTGGGAGCTTTCCGGTGCCAGTGAGGAGACCATGAAGCCACCAGCCCCAGCTGACCCGCCCGCCTAGGCCCAGAGAGTCAGACCCTGGCCAACCCCTGCCCCTCCGCTCGCACTACCTGCCCCAGGTGTCGTGCCCGTCACAGGTGAGAGGTCGAAGCTCATCGAAGGGGAAGGCATTCTCCAGGTAGCTGTCGTAGGCGTGGTAGAACATGGCCTTGACTCGCTCCCTGGGCGAGGGACGAGAAATCAGGCATGGGGCCAATACACAAAAACAAGCGGGGAAAGAATAAGATACAGGGCGGAAAGTGGGAATCACTGGCTGATTTATGCCGGGAACCTAGCGGCGGGGTCTGAGCAAGTCCGGATAAGGGTCTTGGGATGGACGGAAAGAGAAGGGACCCGGTCCGCGCTTCCCATTCCCCAACTACGGAAGGGCGGGAACCTGGCCTCCTTCACCTGTAGTGGGCGGGATCTGGCGCGGTGCCGTCGGGACCTGGCGCACCATGGTGCAGAGGCGGTAGCGCGCACAGGAGGCCGAGCGGGATGAGCAGCCGGAAAGGCATAGAGCTCGTGTCCTTTCAGCGCCGCCACCGCAGCAGCAGCCACTGCCACCAGCTCATTCTGGGAGCTGCTGCGGGTTCTTCCGGGGATCCGCCCCACCGCGCCTGCGCGCTGAGAAATCAGCCTCTCACTTCCGGACTACAAACCCCGGAATGCAATGGGCAGCGAAACCCGGCCGAAGAGCATCTTGGGATATGCGGTTTAGGAAACACTGATCAACGTGTCTTAAAGATAGCGGCTGTTGTTACTACTGTTATTATTTAATGTTTCAATAACAGCTAGCATGTATTGAGCATTTATTCTGTACTAGTACTGTACGGAGCATTTAAAATGCATTCTCTCATTTTTTTTTCAGCAACTTTATTAAGCATGAAGCAGGGTAAGCATGAAAAATGTTCAGCCTTTACCATTATTAGGGATATTGAGTTTCCCAAACCAGTTACTTGTTGATTGTATAGGAAACAATTTACATTTATTTGTCCAAAACTTACACACACACACACACACCTCTTGCATTTTCTGATGCTGTCACTCTTGAGGTTTCCTAAAATCCCTTCAGTTCTAGGAATTTATGACATTTCTCTCCTCCCACTTTGGGATGTGGTTACACAATCATGGTCCCTTCAGTCTCTATCTCAAACCAGAAGCTTACCCCTGCTGGCCCTGTAGAATGTAGTAGGTACGAATGAATACCCTGGGGCTTCCAGATGGAAGGGAAAGGAGATGACAGTAAGCTGAGACCCAGATAACACAGGTGCATTGTATTTGTTTCCTGTGATTCTTGTAACAAATTATCACAAACCAAGTGGCTTGAAGCAACAGAAATTCTCTCACAGTTTGGGGGGTCAGGAGCCTGAAATCAGTTTCACTGGGCTTTTAGTTTCACTATAGCTTTCAGGAGGTTTGTGATCCATTTCTCCATTTCCTTTATTCCCAAGTTCCTAAAGTTTGGTCAGCTCCATAGCAACACCCATGACTTTGGTCAGTGTGACATGCGTAGAACCAACCCTGGATCTGAAGTCAGATCTAGGCTCCAGTTAATGACAACTCTGTTACTCATCTATAACCTGTGTATGTGACCCTCTCCTCTGGGGCTAGCATCTTTGTCTATAAAATGAGGAGTCTGAACAAACAGATCTTTGAGATCCTTTTCGGTTGAGGTTTCTATGATTCTAGGATTGGCTATCTTCTATTTGCTGAAAAAGTCAGATGGAAGTGGTAGCTCAGTTTGTTAACCTGGAGTGCAGCTAGGCTTGGTCTCCTTGGTCCCACATCCCTGAAAACATCCCCCAAATAAGTGTCTCGAAATGCCATCTGTCGATAGAATTAAATCCCTGACAACCCAGAGAGATTGAGGTGATAGAGGCTAAAAGTATGGGCTTTATATTTTGGCAGATGTGAGTTGAAATACTAGCTTCATCGCCTGTTAGGATGTGACCCCACCAGTTTTTCTTTGAGCCTCAGTTATCCCATCTGCATAATGGGAATAATATTAGTACTTACCTAATAGGATTGTGAGGATTTGGTGAGCTATTGCATGTAAAGTACCTGTCATAGTGTCTGGCAGAAGAGACACTCAGTAAATATTAGGATTTATTTATTTATTTGAGATGGAGTTTAGTTCTTGTCACCCAGGTTAGAATGCAATGGCATGATCTCGGCTCACTACAACCTTGAACTTCTGGGTTCAAGAGATTCTCCTGCCCCAGCCTCCCAAGTAGCTGGGATTACAGGCACACGCCACCTCGCCCAGCTAATTTTTATATTTTTAGTAGAGACGGGGTTTCACCATGATGGCCAGGCTGGTCTCAAACTCCTGACTTCAGGTGATCCACCTGTCTTAGACTCCAAAGTGCTGGAATTATAGGTGTGAGCCACTGTGTCAGGCCTAGGTTGACCATGCCAGGCCTAGGATGTTTTTAGAAACTCTTCTTGGGGCTTCCAGATGGAAGGGGAAAGGAGATGCCAGTAAGCTGAGACCTGGATAACAACCCAGGAGCACTGTATTCATTTCCTGTGATTCTTATAACAAATTACCACAAACCAAGTGGCTTAAAGCAACAGAAATTTATTTTCCCGAAGTCAAAGGGACGTCAGGAGCCTGAAATCAGTTTCACTGGGCCAAAATTAAGTTCTTGACAGGGCCACACCCCTTCCAAAGGCTCTAAGATAGAATCCGTTCCTTGCCTCTCTAGATTCTCCTGATTCCTAGCATTCCTTGGCTTATGGTTGCATCACTCCAGTGTCTGCCTCTGTCTTCACATCGCCTCCTCTGTGGATGTGTCATATCTCCTTCTGCTTTTCTCTTATAAGGACATTTATAATTGCATTTAGGATCCCCCTGCCCCCTAGATAATACAGGATAAACTCCCATTTCAAGATTTTTAATCATGTTTGAAAAAAAACCTTTTTTCCAAATAGAATAACATTTACAGTGTCCAATGAATAGGACCTGGACTCTAGGGGGCTGTTTTCCAGCCTAGCATAGGGACTAAATGATTTTCAGACCTAGGCCTTTCCCTGTTACGAAATTCACCTTCTGCATATTATAACTCCTATAGCTTATCTTTTTGTCGCCTATTCAAAATTCTAGTGTGGATAAAACTTTTGCAGAAAGGGTGCATTCAGGTTGCCTGGATTTGGTAATGATAGGAGCAAGATATAAGCAAGATTGAAATACTCACAATTTTCCTTTATATTCTTTTTCTGGCTTAATGAGAATGTACATTTTTCACACTGTCACAGAACAAATAAAACCATGACTTATGTTTTCACAATTCATGTAACTAATTTCATAGTTTTCTAATGAGAATAAAAAATTGTTTTACCCTCTGGAAAAGTGTTAGGACTCTTCTTTCTCTTGCTCTGTGTTTATGATACTGGATTCCAGAAGGTTATAGCCCACCAGTGAAACGTTACACTTGAGCATTTACTTGTGAAGAGACTCAGGGTAAATTGCCTACCTCTCTAAGCCTCCATTTCCTATTGTAAAATCCAGAAATTGATGATGCCATAAAGGAATTCTGGGAATTAAATGGGATAATGAAAGTGAAAATTCCCAGCACAGTGACTGATAATATAAGTTCTTAATACATACTAATTCTCTTCCCTGCCTCCCCAATTCTTTTTTTTTTAAAGGCAGGGCAGTTGGTTCCATTTACTGAGCATCTGCCCCTAGTCATCCAAGGTGTTATAGGCAGAAGTTCCTGCCCTCAGAAGTTTGACGTACAGTGCTGAGCATATAACTAAGATTCAAAAATAATCACGTCATAGTCCTTTCCCTTGAAGTGCCTGCAGTTTTGTTAGAAGGGGAAGATGTCAATTGGAGAATACTTGGAATCATAGGGTATGCAAGTCTTCCCTGTGGGTGAATAGAATTTGGAGGGGGTTCAGATCACATCAATATCTGAAGTCAATGTCCTTGGACTCTTGTGTTCAGCAGAACAAGACTTGGACTGGTCATCAGAAACCCTTGTTCCTGTTGTTTTTGTTTTTTGTTTTGTTTTTTGAGTCGGAGTCTTGCTCTGTTGCCCAAGCTGGAGTGCAGTGGCACGATCTCAGCTCACTGCAACCTCTGCCTCCGGGGTTCAAGTGATTATCCTGCCTCAGCTTCCCAAGTAGCTGGGACTACAGGCTCACGCCACCACACCTGGCTAATTTTTTTGTATTTTTAGTAGAGATAGGGTTTCACTGTGCTAGCCAGGATGGTCATGATCTGCCCGCCTTGACGTCCCAATGTGCTGGGATTACAGGCGTGAGCCACCTTGCCCAGCCACCTATTACTGTGTGATCCTGGGCAAGTCATTTTCCCTTTTGGGAACTCAGTTTCCATATCTGGCAGATGAAAGAGTGAGACTGTCTCTCAGCACAAGGAAAATAGTAACAGATCCATACAGGGTTATTGCAAAAAATCAGAAAACAGAATTCAACACATATCAGCTGCAGAAATTTCCCCCCCAGAAACACCCATGAAGCAGAATAAAGTGGTGGGACAGCATTCCAAATGGGATTTGACTTTTTGGGAACTAAACAAGGAAAACGAGGGGGATGGGGAGGGGGACAAGAAGGAGAAGGAGAAAATAGTCACATGTATTGATATAGTGAACATTTGCATAGTAATTAATATGTTCTTTGTACTTTACATCCATCAACACTATTTAATCTTTACCACAACCCTCTGAGAAAGTGTCACTATCGCCATTTTACAGACCAAAAACCTGAAGCACAGATTCTAAGAACTGAAGAGAGATTTAGCCACTTAATCAATGTCTCATACCAAGTAAGTAGAAGAGTCAAGATTTGAACCCAAACAGCCTATACTGTACTGCATTAATGAAAATAATGACAAATATATACAGAACTTAAGAATGGAGATCTGGTCAACTGCTACAGTGTCCTCTAGCTTTAGCTTCATGTGGTTTTAGGGTCAACATTTCCTTCCCTTTTGCTGGAAAGTTAGAGGAAAAAGCTCAATTCTTCCAAGTTGGAAGCCAAGGCATTTTAGATCCCCTTTGGCCAAATACACTTGACTGCTTTTAGCAGGGAAGAATCCTTTTTCTAACATCTGGAGGTCATTTGGTTCTTCCAACTCCCGGAGCAGAGCTTGCACACTACATACTTTTGACTTGCCAAAAAATAAGTTTATTCTTGGGAAATTTCCCATCTGTTGCTTTGTGGAAGTGCACTTCTGTGTGCAGCATGTCCAAACATTTAGATCAATGACTACCTGGTTAGGGCTCCAGACCACGTTTTTATTCTTATTTTCTTTTTCTTTTTTTTGAGATAGGGTACCTAGGCTGGAGTGCAGTGGCATGATCACCACTCACTGCAGCCTCGACCTCTCCCAGGCTCAAGTGATCTTCCCACCTCAGCCTCCCAAGCAGCTGGGACAACAGATGCATGATGCTATGCCCAGGTAATTTTTAATTTTTTGCAGAAACAAGATCTCACTGTATTGCCCAGGCTGGTCTTGAACTCCTGGGCTCAAGCAATCCTCCCACCTTGGTCTCCCAAAGTTTAGAGATTATAGGCATGAGCCACCGCACCTGGCCTCAGACCATGTTTTTATTATGCATATGTTCCAGTGAACTCAGACCTGTAGGT